TCCTACTGTCTTGTTTTTTCCCTGCAACAGGTAATGCCGAATTTTTTTCACTAGTGGGCAGTTGGGATTCTTTTGTGGAGGTCTGAAATTGAAATGGGTTTAAGATGTAAATCATTCATTATGTTCAAAAAATGTTCCCTTGGGAACCAGGCGCAGTGGCTCACGCCTGTAATCCCAGCACTTTGGGAGGTTGAGGCAGGCAGATTGCTTGAGCTCAAGAAGTTGAGACCAGGCTGGCCAACATGGTGAAACCCATCACTACAAAAAATACAAAAATTAGCCAGGCATGGTGACATATGCTTATAATCCCAGCTACTCTGAGGCTGAGGCACGAGAATCTCTTGAACCTGGGATGCAGAGGTTGCAGTGAGCCAAGATCACACCACTGCACTCCAGCCTGGGTGACAGAACAAGGCTCCGTCTCCAAAAAAAAAAAAAGTGTCCTTAGGGGCATAGAGTAAAAGGGTTGTAGTGTCAGGATGTTATGTGTGGTATGGATCTTTTAAAGGTGGTTCTTTTCACAGCCTATCTCTTACCAAGCTTGAATGTGGCTGTGAGAATTCTTAGCTTTTCGTGGCCTATGTGAACAACATATGGAGGACGCAGAGACTGACAGGAAAAGGCCCCATGTTTGTGTGGGGTAAAACAGCAGAGAATCTGTGGAGCTCTGCCTGCCCCAAGCCTTCCACATGCTTGTCTCTCAGTTGGCCTCCCAGCAACTCCTCATCCCTCTCGTACAGAGGATAGGGTGGCTTTCTTACCCGTGGCACATCCTTGCCTCGGATTCCAGGAGCCCTGCAAAGGGGCTTTCTCTTGTGCATGCAGACTGCTGTGAACGTCTGCCATGGGGTTGTCGCTTGATTTTTTCACGCTTGCCTAATCAGTATTCCAGGCACAGTTCTTAACAGCAACTACCCCGAAAGCCCCAGCAAGCAGGACATGAACAAGGGGGAGCGGACTTCCAGTTAGTGAACGTAGATGCAGATGCTTTAGTGGAAAAAGAAATTAACTCTTGGTCCTTTAGAGCCTAATACACTGGATGTTTGCTCCCTTTTTATAGGTTCCCTTTGGTTTTTAGAAAGTTTAGTCCTTTTGGGGACCCACTCACATGGCTTTGACAATATCTTCTCCCCAGGGAAAGTGTCTGTAGCATCATTTAGGGAGTTCCCTGGCTCGCATGTATGACGTTTGCTGTTTTAATTTCCTGCCTCCCTTTTGCGATTCAGCTTGTCATGTTTCTCTAGGAGAGTGTTTCCTTCATATCTATTGAATCATTCCCTTGGTTTTTGCTTTGTATCTCAAAGAATTTTTGCTGGAATACTTCTGTGGTAGTAGGGTCTTGTCATGCACTGAAAACAGAATGTGACTCACCCTTTCTACTGCCGACTGAGTTGTGATGAGGCTTTTTCTTTCTAAGAAGTGTTTAAATTACCACATAGTCCAGGAATCATGGATATTAACACTAACAGTTTCATCTATGTGGGACAGGAGTTGAGCATGTAGTTTAATGACATATAATTTTTGAATTCCAAGCATAGTTTGAAAAAATATTAAAATCTTAGCACCCAGCACATGCCTTTTAATGAAGAAGTTCTCAGCAGCTGGCAGAAATGCATCTGTGTAGAGAGACATAGGCGGAACAGGTGGCAGGGCGGGGCATCATCTGGAGACCTGCGTCTGGGCTGAGTGACCTTCGTTCTTAGGCTGCCTGCTGTGGGAAATGTGCAGATGAGTGCATTTCTCCGGCCCCAGGCTGGGTACTTGCTGCAGCCCTCACCCTTGTCGTTTCTAAATCTCGAACATAAGAAGGCCGTCCACTTCTCTTTTAATGTAAGGAGGTTGGTAAACCAAAGCTTTATGGCTTTGGAATGGAATTTTTCTCATTTCCTAAAAAGAAATGGTAGAAGTAAAGTATGCTCATCATGAGCTGGTCCCAAGCGAGTGTTTGGTTTAGCCAGAAGGTAAATGGGCAAACAGCGTGAGCTGACAGCTTGCAAAAGAGGAAATGAAGAAGGCTGTTTGATAACATGTAATAAGACCTTTTTCACTGTCCACCTGCTTATGCTATTTTTAGTGAAAAGAACATGAAATTGTATATTTACTGTGATAAAATAGAAACTAATGCTGGGTGGAGATGTTCACAGAGGGGAAAGTGTTGAGGTGTTAACATTGATGACTTCAGAGGAGTGAGATTGCAAATTATTTGAAGGTGCTGCTTGTATGTTTTTACATCTCTTGCAAATTGTCTACAAAGAGCATGTCTTGATTTATAAAAACCATGAAGGAAAAAAATGCAAGAGCTATCCTTGGGAGGAAGAGGAAGGGGTGGGGCCTTGAGGGAGACATAGCCTTCCTGTGCAGAGGCGTCTCGGAGCCTCTTGCTCCACCAAGCAGGTGCTCCTCCAGCCAGCACTTGCATCAGACTCTGTGTGACATTTCAAAATATAGGTGCTCTGACCTAGCCCTGGGCCAGGTGATGAAGGGGAGATGGGTGCCCCTGTCCACCAAGAGACTCTGATGTGTCCCAGGGGAAGAATCACACTTTTTTTAGAGGTGTACCCTGCCACTCCCTCAGGGTTAGAGGAGAGTTGCATAGACATGGGGACCTCTTCCCACCAAACTTTCACATGACTGCTTTCCTGGCAGTAGACTGTTGACATTCTGTGTCCCTCTACTTTCCCAAAGTGTGGCAGCATTTTAGCATGCCCATTAGGGACATTCATGGAGAGTGCACCAAGACTTCTTAGTTAGCAGAGAGCATGCTCACAAATGTCATGTCCTGTATATGCCTGGAGGTAGATATCCTGAGGGACCTTGGCAGCTTTTTCTGGGGAGTAATTTACCTTTACTCTGCCTTATAAGACCAGGCTTGTGCCGCAGAACGTGAGGGCAGGTCCAGCATCTGGTATTTTTCCATGGGCCCACTTGACAGGGCCACGATATGTTTTCAGTTGTTGTGGGGTTTTATTTTCTGTTTTTGAGACAAGGTCTGACTCTGTTGCCCAGGCTGGAGTGCAGTGGTGTGATTATGGCTCACTGCAGCCTTGAACTCCTGGGCTCAAGTGACCCCACCACCTCAGGCTCCCAAGTAGCTGGATCTACAGGCGTGTGCCACCTTGCCTGGCTGATTTTTTTCTTTTATTGTTTATACAGATGAGGCCTTACTATATTGTCCAGGCTGGTCTCAAACTCCTGGCCTCAAGTGATCCTCCCGCCTCAGCCTCCCAAAGCACTGGGATTACAGGCACACAGCACCACACCCAGCTTTGTCATTTGAATGGCTGGGATGCCCCACTTGAAGAAAGCTTGTATGTTAAGAAAACTAAGCTTTAAAGGAGGGGATGGTTGAATGCTTACCCCAAAATTATGAAACAATTTACGGCCAGGTGCAGTGGCCCTGGGCAGCCAGGCTCTGGAGTCCCTGCTGTTGACTTCCATTCTGTTAATACCTGAGGGAGACAAACCCGGCTGCTGCCAGCCCACCTCATACCTAAGTGCATAAAGCTGGTAGTTTTGATCGATTGCAGCAAGACTGTACAGGCACAGGTAAATAGATATGTGAGACAAACATCATCAGATGATTAAATGACAAGTTCTGAAGAGGAATTTTCTAGATCTCTAGATCAGGACCTGGAACAAAGCTGTACGAAAAACCCCTTCCTATGTCACCTTCCTTCCTTGTTCTGTGCTCTCAGGGCCGGGCAGCCTGAATTCATAGTCCCTTGGTTGGGCTGTTTGCCAGGTATCAGGTTGCCAGGTATGAGCCAGATGTACCCGCGGAGTGGGGGTACAGTCACCCCCAGTTGAGAACCCCTGCCTTAGATAATGTGTAATAAATGCTTGCTGAAGAAACAGACTGAGTATCTTTGAAGTTCTTCCTATTTCTCTGGGCACTGTCAGTAGGCACAAGAGGGACATAGGTGGGACAATCCTGCCTCCCCTGGACGCTCTTCCTGACACAGCCGCTGGGCATCTCCCAGCACACAGAGGCCCCATGCCCACACACTCCTGGGGCCCTGCATCACTGGCTTTAGGCCTGGGCCTAGGAGCTCTTGTCTTTCTTGGAAGGTGTGGGTGAAGCTGAGCTCTGGCTTCAGGAACAGATAAGCCATCTTAATTGCAGAACGAGCATATGGGACAGCCTCAGCTTTGTAGAGAATTTTTTGCCCAGGCAACATTTTCCTCACTTTCAGTAAGTAAAATCCATAGAATGTCTTTTCTTGGTGAGAAGTAGATGGCCTGGCCTCAGGTACAGTCTGCTTTTGGACTAATTGTGTTGGTATGACTCCCGTCTTTGCTTCCTTTCCCTTTCTCTCCAGAAAGGACCTAAGTGTGAAATACCCTGAAGACCTCCCCATCACCCTTCCAAACCTGTTGAAGTTCATTTTGCATCACTCAGACCCTGCTTCCAGCCCCCAGAACATGGCTAACTCTCCTACCAAGGAGTGTCTTCAGAGCGAGGCAGTCTTACAGCGGGGGCACATCTCCCACTTGGAGAGAGAGATCCAGAAACTGAGAGCAGAAATAAGCAGCCTCCAGCGAGCACAAGTGCAGGTAGAGTCCCAGCTCTCCAGCGCCCGCAGAGATGAGCACCGGCTGCGGCGGCAGCAGCGGGCCCTGGAGGAGCAGCACAGCCTGCTCCGCGCCCACAGTGAGCAGCTGCAGGCCCTCTACGAGCAGAAGACACGCGAGCTGCAGGAGCTGGCCCGCAAGCTACAGGAGCTGGCCGATGCCTCGGAAAACCTCCTCACCGAGAACACATGGCTCAAGATCCTGGTGGCGACCATGGAGAGGAAACTGGAAGGCAGGGATGGAGCTGAAAGCCTGGCGACCCGGAAAGAGGTCCGCCCCAAGCAGCCGGAGCCCTCAAGCACCCCCCAGCTCCCTGGCAGTTCCCCTCCACCTGCCAATGTCAGTGCCACACTGGTGTCTGAAAGGAATAACGAGAACAGGACAGACTAACTTTTTAAATGACGTGAAGAAATCAGAGGTGAAAATTGTACATTGGGAATATATTTATGCAAATTTTATTGAAATTTATTGTAAATAAAGATTTTCTCAGTGGTCTAGAAAATCAACTTGAATGTCATTCAGCATTTATTGAAGAGAGATGACATCCCTTCCACTTATTGCACAAACTTGGTAGCTTTGAAACAAAAACAGTAGCACAGTCCGTTTGAAGATTTGTCCAAAAAATTAGTCCATATTTTAGTGGCTCAGTGTCAAGAGTTCCCTCCCTGTCCCCCCACTGTTGCTTCTGCAGTGATACGAAAGATGAACGCTTAATTTCTTGATTAGTCAGAAAACTTGAATGCAACAGTTGGGCATTCAGAAATAATTCAAAGAGAGGTCATAACCTACTAAGCCATTTGAATGTGGCTCTGGTGTCTATGCTAAAAAAAAAAGCTATTGAAAAATAAGAACAGTGAGAGCTATGATGTGGTTCACTGGTTATACAGCCATTTTCATTTTCCTCCTGAAAACCCCCCCAGTGCCTCACTGAGCCCCTGACCTTCACCCAACACGGCTACCACGCTCAAATGGGCCTGATTCAAACTCCCAGGTACATCCCTGCCACCAGGGAGTGGGATCAGAAAACCTCCAGAAGTGAAACTGATGAGAAAGTGACATTTAATCACTTCAAAACTGAAACTTCACTGGCAAGGTCAAAACCACAGGCCAAGTCTGACAATTGAGCACTGGTCAGTTCCAGGGGTCAGGCTCGGAACCTGAAAATGCAGATCCTAGCTGCTCCTGTGTCCCTCGGATGTGGAGGAAAGAAAAACAGCCTAGGTGTATGTGCTGGCTGCGGTGAGAGTCGAGGTAGAAAGCCTGGAAGTTCTGAAACGTGAGGGGATGGATCACACACCCAGCCTTTTCTCACTCACCAAAGCAAACCTTTTCCCCCATCTTCCAGTCGGCACCTTGGGAACTTCTGTTCTCCCTCCTAGACCTAGTTTCAGTGGCCCCAACCACACGTCCTGCCCACCCAGCCTGCTGGGCTCCTGCTGACATCACGCCTGCCCCACCACCACCTCCTCTGAACTTGGCCACACCAGAGTAGCCAGAGGTGTTGCCTCTCCTGCTTCCTAAGGGCTCTCAAGAGCCCAACTGAGGTGTTTCATTACTACCTTCTGCTCAGATGGCCCAGCCAGCCGTCCCTCTTTCCACCCCAAGCTCCTACTTAAATGTTTAAACCCCCAATTTAGGTGTATGCTGCTTAAACAAAGTCCCCCCTACTTCTCCCGCCCTGGGGGTTCCAGAACATGGATTCATTCAACACGTATTTTAGAAGAGGCTTAGGTGAGGCCAGAGGAGGTGCCTTCAGTCTGAGCAGGAGGCCAGAGCTCTGAGCTCAGGCATTAAGGGCCAGTGCTCTGTGGTTAAGCCCGGGCTGACCTTCCATCTATTACAGGGATGGCCGGCACGAGTCATGTTTGAATCATAAATAAAATTAGTATGTGCTTATGGTGGTGGGATTAAAAATCGAAGTGAGCTCCCTCACTGAAGTGTACACAAGGGAGGCCTTGAAGACGGGCTGTGGAGATGCTAGCTCACCCAAGAACCACCTGTGGGACAGACAAGTCCTGAACTTAAAGTTCACCTCTGCCCTGCCCCGGCTCCCTGCCGCAAGCACAGGCTGGCAGGAAGCAGTCTGGTGGCTCTTGTGGGAATGTGCACGCAAGAAATGTTCCCTGGGTCCTAAGTGCCTTCAGAGCTGGGTCAGGGGACTGGAGACCCGCTGAGGCAAGTGAAGTCAGGACCCCACAGGCAGGCAGTCATCAGAGAGGAAAGGAAGCCAAGTGGTGTAAAAAGGTAAGAGGAAAGAAAGAAAAAAGACAGAACCTCAACAGTCCCCTCCCCTCCAGTGCAGAAAATAGGAAATACCAATACAAAACATACAACCTTTTCTCTTTGCTGGGCCAGCTGGGTTTCAGACCAAAAGTAGCCACCACAGGTTCTACGAGGACCAGAGCAATTTCAGCGAAGCCTGCACTCGGGATGGGGGACTCGGCATGCTGAAGACCAAAGCGGCAAGAAACTGCTCTGCTACAAGGACGCTGGCAGCCTCTGGGACACGTGCCCTGACTCGCCCTTCACTGGCTCCCAGGCAGGTCCAGTAGCTTCCCGGCAGTAACTCCACTCAACAAAACTGCTATTTAACAAGTGAGTCTATCTGGAGAAAGAACAGAGGGGTGTGGGGGGTGTGGTTCTTCTTCCACCCATGACTAACCACGCAGAGATCACCCAAGCACCCCAACTGGTCAGCCACGAGACCCCAAACTGGCATCTCATTTCCTTGATATACACACAGACGGACACACATGAGAGACCCTTGCCGAGTGCGGCGTGGGCCTTTACAAGCCTATGACCCTCCGGGGTCTTGACTCAGCTTGTCATTAGTACAGCCAGAATCAAACCAGTCCCGTGTGCGCTAGATGATATTTTTAAAAATCAGCAAAAGGGCTTAAGCACGTGCTTCCAGGGGCCTATTTACAGTTCACAGGTTTGTTAGTTCACGCATTACAGTAGTAGCTCCATCAAAAACAGGCTCAGCTAGACATTCAAGTAACAAAAGCGCTACAGGGCCATGAGACCCAGCAAGGTCAGGCCTGCCCAGTGCCTGCAATGGGCAGCCTCACCCGGAGGCCGAGGCGAAGCCCAGGACAGCCAGGTCCCCGGGCATCAGTGCATGCGATGACGAAGCCCGCAGAGGCCATGCCAGCAAGTGTCAGCCCTTCCTCTCAGACAGCAGCGCGTCCATGTGGTTTTGCCCCTCCCAGCGCCTCTCGGCCGGCTGCAAACAGGACCAGGAGCCTCGCATCCTGGCTCAGCCGTGGACTTCCGGGCCGTTGGGAGTCATCAGCTTGGCCTTTCTCTCCACGCACGGTCCCTTGGCCGAATACTGCACCAGCAGGAAGGGTTCCTTGGTCTCCCCATCCCCCACGATGCTCTCCTCGTCCTCTGACTGGCTGATGCGCTGCAGCCGCAGGTAGCACCAGCAGCCCAGGATCAAGGCCCCCAGGGCCGCGATGGCAATGAGGATGACGATGACCGTGACCACGCCCGTGGTGGGGCTGTGGTCCATAATAGACATGGTCAGTGCTGGGGGCTTCCTCGGATGGAAGCGCTTTGGGGGTGGCCACTCAGTGAGGCTGGAACTCAGGCTGGACACGGGAGTCCTGAAAGACAAAGCAGGTTGAACGAGCTGCGGTTGGCACTAACACGTGGTCTATTTTTAATTGTTCTCAGACCTGCCCGTCCCACCCTCACCCTGCCAAAAAGCATATTGGCCGGTGTTCGAAGGTGTCTGCTTGCCCGTCCTCACCCAGCTCCTGCTCATGACCTTTGAAACCCCAAGAGTGCTGCTGTAGCGGGCAGGCGAGTCACCCTCGCTGGCTGCAGAGCACTGTGACAGTGGCAGCTGCAGCAAAGAATGCCAGAGGGCCAGGCACGGTTCAGGTTCTTCTGCTGAGGGTGCGCCTTTGGGAAGCCCGGCCCCCCACTCAGTGTTCATGACCACTCAGGGACTGAGGGGAGCCAGGGCCTCCTAATGGCCAGAGATGGGGGTTTGAAAGCAGAGAAGTGGCCAGGCGCAGTGGCTCATGCCTGTAATTCCAGCACTTTAGGAGGCTGAGGCGGGCAGATCACTTGAGCCCAGGAGTTTAAGACCAGCCTGGCCAACATAGTGAAACCGCGTATCTACTAAAATACAAAAATTAGCTGGGCGTGGTGGCACGTGCCTGTAATCCCAGTTACTTGGGAGGCTGAGGCATGAGAATTGCTTGAAGCTGGGAGGCAGAGGTTGCAGTGAGCCGAGATCACGCCACTACACTCTAGCCCTCCAGCCTGGGCGACAAGAGCAAGAGTATCTCCAAAAAAAAAAACAAAAAAGAAATGATATCAGTCCCTCTCCCAAACAGGCATCGTATACGGAACAGGCAGGTCCTCTGGGGACACCTGTGAGAGGGTATAATGGACAACAGCCTTTGTCACCAGACACTGCAGCTGGCCTGGGAAGACCCCTGGAACGTGGCACACCATCTGAGAAAGAAGCTGGGCGGCAGAGTCCCTTGTGTGGTCTGGACGGAGGCCAACCAAGGAAGCAACAGGGTAGAGTGTCCCGGGAGATGAAGACAGGCACTTGGGAGAGTTTCAGGGAGGCAGGGAGGGTGGGACAGAGGCTCCCTCCCTGATGGTGCTTAGCTTCTAGTGCGGGAGCCAGACTGCAACTGGTTAGTACCCCAAATGCCCGTCACTCGCAATGCAGGGTGCCATTGTCAGGAACACAGTGACCAGATGCCAAGATGCTAACTTGGGTGGGCAGGTGAGAGGCAGGGAGGTGGTGCTGATGGGGAAGAGTGTTCCTGGCAGGGAGCACAGTGAGGGCTAAGGCTCTGAAGGCGGAGAGGGTCTCCCCGCAAGTGCCAGGAGTCGGGGCACCAGCTGATTTGGGTGGGGGCGGGGACGAGCCCCCTCCCAGGCCAGGCCAAGCCTGTGCTCCGCATATTGAAGGAATGATGCCAGAAGTTGGAGGGCTGGGACCACCATCTCCACCTGGCCAAGCCACGGAGTTCACCCGGGGGTGGTCCTGCTGAGTGGCTGAGGACAGTGTGGCTGTGGAATGCACATAAGGTCTAAGAGTCCCCGGCTCCAGGCGCCCTGTCAGCCCTCTAGGTGACACCCAAGGCACAGCCAGTGACACTGCTGAGGCCAGGGCTTTGCCTCTGCTGCCCCGCAGTGCTGATGCTGGCAGGTTCTCTGGCCCGCACTTTCTTCCCTCTCCTGCCTCACTCGCCACAAACAGAGCAAACGCTTACTGCGCCCAGGGTCAGGGAGGATGAGGACAGGCCAGGGACGCGTTCCGCACAGGACTGGGCGTGCGGTCGGCACTCAGAATGAGACGTCTGGCTTCTTTTTGTTCCCTTTGGATAAGATTGACATCAGCGCAGGCAGACGGCACTGGAAGATTTTCCCTCCAAACAGGGTCAAACCTGCTGCGTCCTTGAGGAACAGCAGCCTTAAGGAGAAATGATTCTTACCCAACCAGGAGGTTCCCCAGAAGCGAGGTTTGCCTGAAGGTCAAAGGCAGTTAAGTCAATGCCCCCAGCATCTGTCCAGGGACCAGGAACCGGGAAACGGGCAGCTTCTGCAGAGGCCCTAGGCAGAGGAGGCGCCCTCCCTCCATTCCACTGCCTTCCCCCTGACTCCAGGAGCCAGGCTGCTGCAGGCGCTAAGGATCTCCCTGTCTACCCTCAGGGGCCACTGCAGCCAGGACACCTTCCAAGTCCTCACAATGACCTGCAGGACCGAACACTACACATCCCCAGTATGCCCTGCTCACCAGCCACGCTGACCCCCCACGAACCCTCCCACCAGGCCCTGGCCCAGGCTGTTGCCCCTGCCCAGAATGTTCTGGCGGCTTACCCTTGTTCAGTGGTTCTCAACTGGGGGCCACTCTGCCCCCACCCTGGGGACATCTGGTCATGTCTGGCGCCAATTCTGGTTGTCACAACTGGGGGCAGGTGGCAATCCTGGCATCTAGTAGGGAGACCATGGATGCTGCTGGCACCTACAGTGCACAGGGCAGCCCCCACCACACAGATGGCCTGGCTGGAGAAAGAAACCCTGAACCGGTTAACATCAGCTCTGGCAGGGAAGCCTTCCCAACCCGGAAGTCCAGGTCGGGCTCCTTCCCTCCGGAGCAGTGGCCTTGGCGTGTAGCCCTGGCTTCTGGAGCATGGCCACCTGATTAGCGCCCACCTTCCCCTCTAGTGGACCATGAGCTCCCCGGTGGCCCTGCTCTGTCCCCTGCATGCACAGACCACCCTGGCCTCTCCCCTGCCACCGTCCAGTCCCACAACCCCACTTAGCTGTTCTCTCATGCCTCCAGACTGGACAGGGGACCCCTCTGACCCCACAGATAGCCTGCCCACCATGGCTGAGTAAGCCTGTCTACACTTGTCCCTACCAACCTCTGTGTTCTCTCCCTGCAGGGAGAACACCAACCTGCCCTGTGCCTCCCACCTCCCGCTTCCCTCTCCCCTGCACCTCTGGTCCACAGGGCCTGCTGGGGCACCTGCCCTCCCCTGGGCCTTCTGGACAGGAAGGCAAGTCAGTATCAATTCGGAAGGGGAAGTGTGTGTGTTTGGGGGTGGGGGTGATTCAGGGACAGGAAGTAGGAAATCAAACAATGGCACCATGACCTGGGGTAGGCAGGGCAAAGCCAGGTGGGCAGGCCAGGAGGCACGTGAGTTCAGTGGCCCCAGGACTAATGAGGAAACTGAGGAACAGGCAGCCCCAGCTCAAAGGGATTCTCTAAGAGGAGTGGTGACCTCAAAACCCTGTCTGCCACCCTGACCCCAGGCCAGGAGGCATGGACAGGGCCAGATGTGGGGCTCTGCCCCCACCGTGAGCACAGAGCCTAGTGACCGAGCCACAGTCACACCTGGCCTGTGGTCCGGCCCTCCCAAGTGCATATCTGTTCCTTCATTCACTCAGCAAATGTTTCCTGAGAAACTATCTTTGCAAAAATGAGATGGCGTTATCCCCACTCAGAACCCTCCCCAGCACAAGAGAATCCAAGCTCCCTGCCTCCCTAGGCGTCCCCACACCCTCCGCTGTGAGCCCATGCTCCCAGCTCTGCCCTGACTGCCCCATGGCTGGCACCTTCCTATTCGGGACTTTCTCAGAAGGCGCCTGTTACAGGCTGTCCTCCCATACCACTGGCCCCAGACGCCCCTCCTCCCACGCCCCACCACTACAGCCTTGCCCTACTTCATTTGCTCTCCTTGCTAGCTGCCCTTCTCTAGGCTCAGGGCTGTCCTCTGGCTGCTGTGTCACTCCCTGCACTGGACTCCAAGGCTGTCCAAGGAGGGCACCGTCTGTCCCACCCACAGCTGTACCCTGCCCTGCACGGGTACACAGTAGGTGCTCAGTAAATGTCTGTTGCGTGTTCCCACCCTGCAGATAGTGATGAGTTAGAGGAGACCCTGTTCTCACAGGGATCATAGGTGGGGGGTCCCTGACACCCCGGCACTCCCAGGACCCTGAGGACAGGTCCCCATGTTCTGTCCCAACAGACTCAGAAAAGCCGCAGATTGAGTGGGAGAGGGCCGCAGGCCAAGTGTGGGGGTAGAGCGGTGAGTGCCAGTGGATTCTGGCAGGTCTTAGCCCATGGAGGGGAAGCTAGCTCCATGCTTGCTGGCAGGCAGGGAGGGAAGGGGGTGGCCAAGAAGCAGAGCCCAGGGAAACTCAAAGCACAGAGGGCAGCAGGTCTCCACAAGCCCTGTGCCTGGCTGGACCCCACCTGTCTGCTCTTCCTTTCTAGCCGCTCTGAGCAAAGCTGTGTCTTGCAAGCTGGGTAACCCCTCGCCCTGATCCAGTAAAGCCCACAGGATGCAGGGAACAGAGACGGGCCACAGCTTGGGTTGGGGGGATGCCCAGGCTGGCACATGGGAATCCTGGCCCACCCAGCAACCATCATTTCCACCAGCATCTGATCCAGCAAGGCTGCGGCCACCTCTGCTCACCCTAGCATCTCCATCTGGCAGGTGAGGAAACTGAGGTGCATGTAGGGAGGTGAAGCAAAAAGCCAGAAGGCAGGATGGGAGCCCAGAGGGGAGCCCGGCAGAGCCAAGGTGGCGTCTTCCAAGTGCAGAGGGGCCAGGGGCTAGGGGCCAGAGCACAGCCTGGGCCTTCGATCTCTGGGCAGGCTGGAGTGTCCCCTCTGCTTGGGATTTGAAGCCCAAGGCCATCTGGATCCCCCAAACACACATCCTCCTGCTCCATGTGCCTTCAGTCCTGCCATCCTCTGCCAAGGGGGTCTTGACTGTCAGATCCCACACACCCACCATAAAAGCAAGCTCCAAGGACCAGGCTTTCCAGAACCCCCTGCCCCAGCACCCTCAAACAACCCCAACGGGGTTCAACTGCAGCACGGGACACGCTCTGTCTTCTGACAGAGCCCACATGCGTCCCATGGAATAATAACAGCAAGACAAGCCTGAGCCATGCCATGTGAGCGGGGGCCCGCACCGCCCTCAGCCACTCCCCACAGCCGCCCAAGCTTGCAGGTGTTACTGACACTGTCCTACCTGGTTTGCCAAGGCCCACAGAGATCAGTAACTGGGACCCAAGGAGCATGGGGGTAGAGCCAGGGGTGAACCCCACTCCGTCAGAGCCATTCAAATGGACAGTCCCTGCCCCAGCTACCAGTGAGGGGAGGGGTATCCTCCTGTCCTGCTCTCCCTCCCAGGGCCCTGGCTTGTCTGAGCCTGATCCCACTCTAGAGGCCACTCCACTTGCTCTAGGCCCGGGGGGCCCACAGCCTGCAGCAGAGCAGGCTGAAGTCCCCTCCATCCTCCCAGCCCAGCACTCACTTTTGTGGCCTGCTTCCTCCCAGCCAAGCAAGCTGCTCCTCTTGGCCTCAGTTTCTCAATGTGCAAAGTGGGTACAAGTCCCTGACCTCATCTACCAGGTCATGGGGAGGATAAGAAGTGGTAAGAAAAGTGAAAACAAAAGGGCCACGAGGTCACCTAGGTTTGCATGTCACCAGCTACACCTTCCTGTGTGCTACAGGAGGGACAAAGGGAGAACACTGAGCCCGAGGGACCCCCAAGCCCACCGCCAGGACCAGGAGGGCACAGAGCGTGGCCTAGGCCCACAAACACCCCTTCCCCAGGGACACGCTGCCTCCTCCTAACTCAACTGGGCACATCACGAGCATTACCGGGCTCACCACCAGCAAAACACCCCCGCCTGGCAGCCGCCACCTCCTGAGGCTCCTTGAGAGATGCCAGGAGGGCTGCCCTGCTTACAGGGGCCAGCCATCCCCACGGAGCTTTCAACACTGCCCCCATAAAGCCACCTGCCAAGGGTGCCAACAAACTCTTCAGCGAACCCCAGTTCACAAACCAGAAACATTTCCTGCCCCAGGTTCTGACTGGGAAAACAGGGTTGTAGGGAGAAGAGGGCACTGCTGGACACAGCCAGGACAAGGTGGGACGTCTGCTCTGCCCTGGGCCCTGGGCAGCCAGTGGGACACAAGGACGCATCACAGAAGGCACCGGCCCCCCAGAAGCCAGGACGGAGAACAGCTGGATGCCAGTAGGACTGACACTGATGGGGCTGTGTCCAGCTCTCTGGCCAGTGTCATCTCATCCTCCACCCCGAACCATGACACCCCCATCCTCAGAAGAGGAAACTCGCTCCAGAACCCCCTAGGTTCCGCAGTGGCAAAAGAGGAAGCGGGAGCCGGCAGAGCTCTGATTCGGGACTGCCCCAAGGTCAGTCGGGGTCTTCCTCGGCCCAGGCCAGAGGCTCATGCCCCCACCCTGTGAATCACATTTTCACAGGCTGGCCCAGGGTTGGCCTGTTTGGCCAAACAACTTTGCTGGTAGATGCCGGAGAAAGTTGGTGGCAATTATATGTGCCAGACACTGAGATAAACAGCTCACACTGACGTCTCCTTTCTGCCTCAAGACAACAGGGCAGTTGAGCTATTACTGTTCCCTCTTGGCAGATACAGAAATCGGTGGCTCAGAGAAGTTCAGTCCATTGTCCAAGGTCACACAGCTCAAAAGTAGACGCGCAGGGATTCAAACCCAGGCAACCTGCATCCCAAATCCCGCATTTCGACCCTGACTCTAAAATGCCACCTTCTCCCCACCTCCTCTCCCGCATGCCTGAGGGGCCGGGGACAGGTGAACCCCAATGTTGTCCTCGCTGGGGCGGGCTGGGCGACCTGGGCTGGGTGCTGGGGACTTAGGGGTGACAGCGCCCCGGCGGCTCCCAAGTGCTGAGCGCGGGCGGCTAGGCAGGCGCGGTGCCAGGCGCGCTCCACGCACCCTCCCGTTCCGCCCAGCCCGGCGCCGCCGGCGTCTCCCCCACTCTACGGAGGAGCAAAGCGAGGCTCCAGGGAGGAGGGGGCTCGGCCCAGGGGGCGAGAGCTGGACGGGGGACGGCAGCTGGGGAGGTAGCTCGAGTCGGCCCGACGGGGGCGGGGTGTGGGACGGGGACCACGGGACCCAAGCATGCCCACGCCGCGCAGCCAGTGCCCATGGAACAGGGCGCCCAACGCTGCGGCCCGGACTCAGTTTCCCTACCCGCGAGACGGGCGCCGGACGTCACCTGGACCCCTATCCCCCGGAGCCCTTCCCGGAGCTCCCAGAATTTTGAAGAACCCCGAAGTGCCGGGGGAAAGCGGGCGGGCGGGCGCGTAGCTGCGGACGGGCGGGGGCTGCACGGGCGGGGGCGAGCGGACCGCGATCCCCGCAAAGCGGCCTCCGCCCCCCGCCCCCTCCTTTGTCCCGATCTCGCCGCAGCGCCTCTGACAAAGAACCCGGGCCCGCGGGCGCGGCCCCTGGAACGGACCCTCCCCCGAGCCGCGCCCGCCGGGCCGCCCCTCCCCCGCCCGCAGACCCCGGCCCGGCCCCGCCGTCGCGCGCGCCCCTCCCCGTCCTGGCCGCCCCTTTCCCGCTCCCGGGTCCCCGCGCCCTCGCCCGGCCCGAGCGCGCGGCCTGCCCCGCCCGGCTTACCATGGCGCGGCCGCGGCCCGGCCCGATCGCCCCGCAGCAGCCCCGCGGGCCCGGCTCCGCCCGCCCGCCCGGTCCGGCAGCCGCGCACTCCGGACGCAGGAGCCCCGCGCTGCGGCGGGCGGGGCCCGGCACCTCCCCGGCTGGGGGCGGAGCCTCCCAGAGAAGCCAATGGGAGCCCGCGCTGGGACGGCGGGGCGGGGCGGGCCGGGGCGGGCCGGGGCGGAGTCACGTGCGCTCGGGGCCGACGGACTGTGGGGCGGGGGCTGCGCGCAGCGGGCGGGGCGGGGCTGGGGGCGGGGCGGGGGCGGGGGGCGGGCTCGGCCCTGGAGAGCGCGGATTGGGCGCCCATGGGTACGGGGCCCCTCTACAGGCGCCCTTCCTCCGCCAGCCTGCCCTGGTCCCGCCCGCTTACAGCAGAGGAAACTGAGGCACGCCGCACCGAAGAGTGCTGCATACTCCCCGAGAGCTGAGAGTGGTGGGGAATCCGGGGCAGGGGAGAGGCGCGACCGCTGAGGTGAATGACCTTGCTTCCAGAGGAAGCTGGGAATTCGTTCGCGAATTCATTTATGTATCTATCATTCATCCACCCAGTCAGTCGATGGCGGAACACCGACCACGTGCCTGCCACGCCAGTCGTCGTGGGAGCAGCCACGAGCTAGACAAGGTCCAGGCCCTGACGAAGCTCTCATTCCTCTGCGGAATGGGGCTGTGAGGCATTTGCACCCCTCGGCCATCTATAATCATGGTTATTTTTAGCATGATAACCCGGTGGTTTGGCCCCCACCAAATGCCTGCCTGCCCTGTATAAACAGCCCAACACATTTTATTAAGATGACTCCGGAAGAAAGAATCCTCCCATTTTACAGATGAGGAACCCGAGGCTCCAAAGAGCTGAAGTCCCACAGCCTGCTCCTGATGAAGAGGGGATTTGAGGCCAGGCCTGTCTGCCTGGGAAGACAGGGGCGCCAGTTACTGGAGTAATCTCCACTCATCCACCCCAAAAAGGCCATCAACGAGAGGACACCCCAGCCCTGGGACCCACAGAAGGGGTGAGGGTGGGTCCTTCAAGGCCTCTGTGTCCCAGGGGACTTGAGAAGACAGGAGGGGGTAAGGTCGAGGTGGGACCTCCTTCCGGGAGCGGGGGCCTTATTTGCTGGAAACTTCTTTCCCATTCTCAAGCAGAAGGCTCTGGAAGAGCATGGAGGGTTGGGCTCACGAGGCCAAGGTAGCCAGGCCCTCACTCCCTCCACTCAGCCTGGCTGGGTTTTCTTCCCTGTGCCCGGTGCACCAAGGCTTTTCCACCGCCAGGCCTTTGCCTGTGTGGTTCCCTGCAGCTGGAACTCTTCTACTTCATCTTCCCGATCTCAGCTTAAATGCCCCTTCCTCAGGAGGGCCCTCCCTGATCGCCTAGCCAAGAGGAGCTGCCTTGGGGTTTTTGGTTTTGCTTTTGAGACGGGGTCTTGGTCTGTCACTCAGGCTGGAGTGCAGTGGTGCAATTACAGCTCACTACAGCCTCCATCCAACTCCTTCCTGGGCTCAAGCCATCCTCCCACTCAGCCTATATCTATGAATGTGGGCGGATTTGACAAAGCAATTTTTTTTTCTTTTTTAGAGACAAGGTCTTGCTCTGTCGCCCAGACTGGAGTACAGTGGTGCACTCATAGCTAACTGTAACCTTGAACTCCTGGGCTCAAGCGATCCTCCTACCTCAGCCTCCCAGGTAGCTGAGACTACAGGCGCATGCCACCATGCCCGGCTAGTTTTTTAATTATTTGTAGAGATGGGGGTCTCTCTTTGTTGCCTAAGCTGATCTCAAACTCCTGGGTGATCCTTCTGCCCCAGCCTCTCAAAATGCTGGGATTAGAGGCATGAGCCACCATGCCCAGCCTGCCCCCTGTGAAACTGTATATTTTTGACAATGTGTGATGAACGTTTGGTCTTCTCTCCCAGTACTAGGTATATTGCAGTCACTGCTGTGTCTCCAGAACAGTGCCTGACACACAGTGTCTGCTGAATACATGGATGCTGAATGAATGAATGATCAGACTGCAGAACTCCAGGGCTGGTCCAGCGGCAGCCTAGCCAGGAAGCCAGGCCCAGGAGGTGAGCTGGGAGTCGTGCAGGAAGGTAGGACAGAAAGGCAGAGGAGAGCCCAGCTTCAGCCAGCTGCCCCACAGTCCAGCGCCAGGCGTCTCAGGACAGCTCCGCACCCATGTCTGCCCAGCTGCTGCCCCATCAGATACACCTGGGAGCCCAGAGTGGAAGGAAATAGATTCTTCCCACAAAGCCAGTTCCAGCAGCTTCTGTGGTCCCTGCCTCAAGTTGGCAGAGACCTCATTAGTCTCTGCCAATGCACCCTGCCCCCACTGCTTTTTAAATCAATGTGTTTGGGAAAGAACAAATAAGTTAAAGCAAAGTATGAAGGCAGTGAGGACCTGGGAGGTGACCCAGGGCCAGGACTGGCAACATGATGACAGAGGAGGCAGGGACACTTAGAGGGGAAAGATTCTGGGGGGGAAATAGTGAGGGAGATTCAGCATGGCATAGAAGCTGAGAGTCAGATTGTCAGATTCCAGCCTTTCCTGCTGGGTGGTTTTGGAAAAACAGCCGAACATTTCTGTACCTCAGTTTTTTCATCTGAAAAATGGAGATGAGGCCGGGTGCGGTGGCTCACACCTGTAATCTCAGCACTTTGGGGAATGCCAAGGCAGGGGGATGGCTTGAGCCCAGGAGTTTGAGAACAGCCTTGGAAATGTAGTGAGACCCTCATCTCTAAAAAAGAAAAGTTAGCTGGCCGTGGCGTTGTGTGCCTGTAGTCCCAGGTACTGGGGAGGCTGAAGTAGGAGGATTGCTTGAGCCTGGGAGGTTGAGGCTGCAGTAAGCTGTGATCACACCATTGCACTCCAGCTTGGGTGACAGAGTGAGCTGAGCCCGGTCTCAAAATAAAATAAATAAAGTAAAATAGAATAAAATATCCAGCTTCTGACCCAGTAGATCTAAGCCCGAAATCCTGCATTTTTCAAAAGTTCCGGAGTGGTAGTGATGATTCGGGAACGCACTTTGAGCAGCAATGGGGAAGTCACTTGCTGAAAGTCACAAAGTAGTGGGCTCCAAGCCTGCATTGGAGCCCATGAGATAGGGTACAGGATCCTGCACTTAACCACGACCCAAACTGCTTGCTGCAGTCCCACCTTTCTCTCCCCGACAAAGAGGAGGCAGGAAGTATCGCGCCCTTCCCCCAAGCCCATTTCCTCTACCTCCCTCTGTGGTGACATCTGGCCTCACATCCTGGGGGTTTCATCCTTATAGAATGGGATGGAGATTCTCAGATGCTCATTAGCCAGGAAGATGATTAAGGACTTGGAATGAGCTCACCCCAGCTCCCTGGGCTTGCTGGGGTCCAGCTGGTGTGCCCTGTGCCAGCCTGGCCCTCTCCCCACTATAAGGGCCGGGACAAGGAAGGATGTTGCTCGGGGGTGGAGAGACCTCAGCCTCAAGGGAGACTCTACAGCTGGGACTCCCTGCTCGGGTGGGCAGGCCTCTGCTCCTGGGGCATCTCTACAGGGGATCCAGGCCTGAGAACAAAATGAAAACTGCGTGGCCAGAGGGGATTTTTCATGAAGGGTGAGATGTGAACCACTGGTGAAGTCTGCAGGGTGAGGTTAGGTGGAAGGAAAAGAGGGCATCACCCAGCTCGGAAACCCGTAGCAGCTCCCATTCTAGGGGCAAGGCCTCCCTTGCTGCTAGTGTGGCCTGAGCATCTCTGTAAGGCTGGCTCAGCCCCTTTACGTCCTCGAAAGAGCACAGACCTCAAACTCACAATCCCGGGCAGTTGACACTCTGCAGCTAGAATTGAACAATGTGTGGGTTTCTGTGTGTATATGTTTCAGTTACCTTCTGTGTATGATGTGGGTATTGTGTTTCTGTATATGGTAATGACATACTCATTGCTTTTTATTTCTTATTTTCTTTGGTTTTGAGGCAGGGTCTTGATTTTTTTTCACTCAGGCTGGAGTCCAGTGGCACAATCACTGCTTACTGCAGTCTTGACCTCCCCGGATCCTCCCACTTCAGCCTCTTGAGTAGCTAGGACCACAGGTGTGTGTGACCCCACTCAGCTTTTCGTTTTGTTTTGTTTTTGTTTGAGACAGGATCTCACTCTATCATCCAGACTGGAGTGCAGTGGCGTGAT